AATTTAAGGGAATTTTACAGATTTCCGTGTGATGGACAATAATCTGACGATCACAGTAATTTGAAAAGCGCAGTAAATTGTCCATCGGAATTTCCGTTTTCAGCCGACCTTAGCATCCATTGAAATGCATTCCTTTCATCGAACCGTCGATGTGAAGGATCAGTCGTGTAACATCGACGGTCCCTCCTGTTGAGCAATAAGCCAACCAGTTGATAATCAGTTGATTAAAAGTTGGGTTTACTATCGGTTGAGTAATAAGTCAACTGATTGAGAACCTGTTTGGTTACAGATATTATTATAATTACTTTTTTGGCCGACCCAGTCAAGTAATTGGTTCAGTATAATCGTTATACGTACAGTAAAATTACATAAATTACAATTTATTTTACAAATAGATTACATTGCAATTTGATATACATATATTCAATGAAAATTGAATAAAATAAAAGGTGTTGATATTTATATTGATAAATTATCTGTAAAACAAGTATCATATGTAAAGTATATATACGTAGGGTGGAAAAATACTATTATTTGTGTAATTTTTACTGTAAGTTTTTGACATGTAATTTTTGTTACATGAGTAACGTTGGCCATAAAGTCCTAGATACATACGTACTGTACGTACCTTAATAAGTTTTTTCCGGTAAGATCATCTATCTGCCAGTAATGGCAAAACTTTGTAATGCTCGTGTAAAATCATAATAGCAGTGCAAGAATCTCTTGTTTTGTGATTTGTTATACAGCAATAGTAGCTAAGAACCACAGATAAGTCACACTAACATGCTACATAATAATATAGCCTACTGTAATTTCATTTTGAATACATTTTCCTTGCAAAAATACAACGGCTAATTTAGTATTAAGCTACTCATATTTACTTAGTAATCAGGAGCATGCAATTTGTTAGAAAATCTAAATGGCAACTTGAACTGATGTATTTAAAGCAGATATCCTGACATTTATAACATAGAAACCGTGATTAATAGCAAACAGATTCCTTATGTTTTCCAATCAATAATAATGAAAAGTGAAGCATTCAAAATAACAATTTTTGATTTTATTTTTATTTGTTCTAATTTAACAGAAGAGCCTTTTTGAACCATTAAAACAGGCATGAACATGAGTTTTAAACTGGTTACGCGATCGTACTGGTTCTGCGCGGCGACACGCGCTGCGCAGCTACCCTAATTTCATAATCATGGCACTCGTTATAGGTAATAATTTTACGGAGATTTTCAAATTAAATGTAACAAATAATTTCTCTTTTTGGGGGTCGAGCTAATTCAATATATGATCTACATACTGCAAAAATTACATTATTGATATCTATATAACCCATTAACCCTAACCACATCAAAAAGGTAACCCTAACACTCGCTCCGCCGACCACTCTTTTTGGTAAAAGATCTTCAATCGGAAAATTCTTTTTTAATTCTTTAGCGTTAGTACGAAATTTGCACCAATTATTGGTTATGTTGTTATTTGGCACACAACCGCCCTTTAAAGCCTCAGTGATCCCCAGAGATTCCTAAGAATAACTTTAGCAAGAATATTTTAAAAGTTTTTAAAACTGATTGTTATTTTTTAGATATATAATAAAAAATGCTTTTTTTTTTTTAAATAGAAATCGGTTTTAGAATAACCTTTTAGTATATTGCAGATCATTTCTATATCGCGTAAAATCTCTGACTGTAATAGGAAATCTATATACGTTTATATACGTTCCTGGTAACTCCGTTACTCCGTTATGCAGGGATCGTCTAAAGCCAGGTAATTTATATGCATCACGTGACTTTTACTTTACAAATTTGATCCCTGTAATAGGAAATCTATATACGTTCCTGGTCTCCGTAATAGGAAATATACGTTTCTAAGAATGACTACTACGTTCCTGGTACACCCCAAACTAATATTCATTTCATATAAACAAAGAAAAACAATTGTAACCCAAACAGGATACATAACTCAATAGATAATGTAATGAATGCATAAGTTGTACTTTCTCGTACTCTTGTAATATAATTCGAGTAATGGGTAAAATAGAAATAATACTATTGATGCCTTAATACCTCATAAAATAATTTACAGTGTTTTGTAATCGTCAATAAATCACAAGTAACATAAAGTAGTTTAAATAATACCCCTTGATACCTTAATATAATTTATAGTGTTTGTAATCGTAAATAAATCACAAATAACATAAAGTAGTTTTAATAATACTCTTGATACCTTAATACCTCATAAAATAATTTCTAATGTTTGTAATCGTAAGTAAATCACAAGTAACATAAAGTAGTTTAGAATGTTTGTTGTGATTTGAAACTTTTACCGAAAATTTAACATGAATTTTTTTATTTGCACACTGAATTCATTTAGAGGCCAAGTTTTTACTACATTATATATTCATAACAGAAATGGAAAATCCAAAACTAATATATACTTTCTTTGCAATATACATATTTGTCCTCTTATCGACTGCAATGATAATAATATTGCAAATGATAGAGACATCAGGTCATAGCATTAACATTCATGACATTGACATTCTTAACATTAACAATACGGCAAAATTAGTGAGTAATCTTAAGATTAAACCTACTAACGTCGCAGAATGGAAACAAAGACATTACATAACAGGCTATCTTAATAAGGAACAGAAAATTAGGATATATATAACTGAGGTTAGTTGGTATCAATATGAACTGCAAAGTCGCAAACGCAATCATGACGAAACCTTAGCAAAGTGTGAGGTACATGTCAAACCAATTTGTTTTACATATATTGTCAGTTTGAGCAATATTAATATAATGAATCAAACACTGTTGCTGCATTGAAGACAGCCAAAAGATTCCTGCCAGCCTGTTATCATAAGGATCAATTCTAATATTAACAATCTAACCTGAATTTTGGCTTTTTAACTGCAACAAATAATTTATAAAATGCTGGAGGAAGTAGGTTTGAGAAATGAGCATATACTTATTATTGAAATCACAAAAATATCTGTTGTTAAAATTTTGTTAAAATTATTACCTATGCTTCTCCATAACATTGACTAGGCATTTTCAAAACTTTTTAACTGCATTATAAAAATCAGTTTTATGAATAGTGTGATTAGAAAATTTCACTATCAAAAGTAATAAGATTTGTTTAGACTCCATATTCTCTTTTGTAATATAAAATTCTATAATGTTTAGAATTTCTGAAGACAACTTTCTATATCTTGGAGCAGGACCCCGAGCTATACATAGATAGGTTAGAATTTATTTTTGCTTATTTTTGACTATTTTTTGCAGATCTTTACTATTTTTAGTAATATATATGCTTATTTTTAACTATTTTTATGCAGATCTTTTACTTTTTTAGTAATTTGTTAAGATTTTTTAAAAATCTTAGCTGTACATAGATTGCTCGGGTCCTCTTGGAATATATAGAGATATGTCCAATTGCACTTGATGATCATGCTTTTTCTCTATACTTGTAATAGCAACAACCTTAGAAGACTTTGTTTTGATAGATTTATGTGCCAAAAATATAAAATTTTACTTGAATTTCGATTGTGTTGCTAAGAAAGATCAATAACCTTGTTGCTAATAGCTTTACTAGCATGTGTATATACAAAGGTACATCATCTAACTTTACCATTTTCATCAACTATTACTCTCTTTTGACATAATAAAAAATCTGCAGCTTTAGTATAACAATTGAGACATGCTTTAGCTTCAGCACACAACATATAGAAATTGTCTACTGAAAGTGATTCTGTTCATTGTTTGGCTCAATTTCTGAAGATTGCAGATTCTGTTCATTGTTTGGCTCAATTTCTGAAGATTGAAGAACTTATTCATCATTTGGTTTAATTTCTGAAGGTTAAAGATCTTGTTCATCATTTGGCTCAATTAAAAGTAATTCTATATAAGAAGATATTAATTTCAAACCAAGCTATTTGTAGTTTCAATATCAACTGAAGAACTGTTTGTAGATTCTGAAGAACTTATATCTAAGTATTTTTTTTTTAAAAAAAAATTAGAAACAGTAAATCTAACCTTTTATACAGTATTCTTTGAATGATAACAATACTATCTACCTTCTATAATTTTTTATAACCAAGCTAGAAATGAAAGAATCACAGCAATGAAAGAAACACAACAAGGAAGCAATAAAGAAAACACAACAAGAAAGCACAAATAAGCAAACAATAAAGCACAATAAATAAACAAGAAGGAAGCAATAATAAGCAAGCAAGCAACAAAAGCAAACAACAAGCAAGCAAGGAAACAAGGCAAGCAAACAGAAAAGAAAAATGGTATATAATTAAGAATATAGGCAAATACAATAATGAAAAGAAATATGGCAGTAAAAGGTAAACGTAATCAAAGTAAAACAGTATTAGTATTGTGAAAAATAACTTTAACACATACACAGCTAAAAACAAAGTAAGCATAGTGAAGAAAAAAAAACTGTGCAAAGGATGAAAAAGAACACAGCAGTAAAAGACGAATGTAATCACAGTAAATCAGTATAAGTAATGTGAAAAAATGATTTTAATATGATATGCTAGTAAAAACAAGAGCGCATAGCAATGAAACAAGCTGTGCAAGAAAAGTATACGAATAGAGATGCAATCAGTATTAGTAATGTGATACTAAAATAAGTAAAAAAATTCTGTAATTGATTAATTGATCTGATTGTGTATAAATGATGTGTAACTATAAATTACATAGGGTGGTGATCATCACCACTGGTTATTTTAACTTAACTTCAAATTAAATATTTAAATTCTTTTTATAAATATAAATTTATATTTGGGTTGTCAATATGGCATGCCAGAAAACAGGCAATGATTTTTAATATAAGTTACTTTTTTATGATAAAATAATTAAGCTCAAAGATTTTTTTTACTATATAAAAATATCTTGTTATAATAATAAACCTCTATATAGTGAACTTATAAAAAATAGTGAAAAAATCTTAAGCTTAATAATTTAATTATAATTAAAGTAATAAATATTAAAAATCTTTAATAAGCTCACTATAATTAAAAAGAGGTTCACTATAACAAGAGATTTATTATAACAAGAGGTTCACTATAACAAGAGATTTATTATAACAAGAGGTTCACTATAACAAGAGATAATATTTTTTTAAAAAAAAATTGACTGTTTTCTATTATGGCATGCAATGACTGTTTTCTATTGATGGCATACAACGATTTTTTTTTTATTATGTAGTGCAATTTGCACTACATAATTTTTTTTTTTTTGCATGTTATACAGCGTGCACATGCATGCAATATTGACAAATTGCGCGGTTATTCGTTTTTGCCTCATCTGTAAAACGAATTCTGTGCAGGAGTGTGCCAGTACAATTTTAGAAGATTGTACAACCGCCACTATTGGAAATAAAAATTTTGGTACGTTTGTTGCATTTTTCCATTTTTTTCCGTTTTTTGTTTATTAAAAATGGAACAAAAAATTAACGACAATTTTAAACAACTCAATTTCAATGAGTGCAAAACATTAGCAGATACAAACGAACCAAACGGAATTTATTTGCTTGGTTATTGCTATGAATTTGGAATTGGCATTGAAACAAATGAAAATGAAGCATTCCGTTACTACCAAAATCGGCAGACCTGAATAATTCCAACGGAATTTATAAAGTTGGATATTGTTATTATATAGGAATTGGAGTTGAAAGCAATAAAAAAAAGCGTTTAAACATTATTTGAAATCAGCTGAAGTGGGTAATTTCAACGGGATTTGGAAAACTGCTTGGTGCTACTACTACGGAATTGGCGTAGAAAAGAATGTGGATAAGTTTGACGAATGGATTGAAAAGTATATTAATTTTTAATTTTTATTATTTTAAAAATTGCGAATATTTTATACAATTTTAATAATTAATTCAATTTTAATAATTATCAGGGATCATTTAGTAAAAATGTAAGTATGAAAAATATTAATCATTGGAATTAAAAACAGCAAAGCAAGGTCACAAATCAAGAACATAAATACTTATTTACCATTACTATTATGTAATCATGTCATTCGCATTAATTTAGTCCGTGAGTATAAAGAA